TCTCTCTCTCTCTCTCTCTCTCTCTCTCTCTCTCTCTGTGTGTGTGTGTGTGTGTGTGTGTGTGTGTGTGTGTACTCCCTCCCTGCACTCCATGCCTAAAGGGACATCCAGGCAGGGTTGTATTCAATATCCACTTGCATGCAAATAGAAAACAAGCAGTGTCAGGGCCTGAAGATACCGGCTTTTCTCGCGGCAATCGTGTCAATGGTGCTGGGAGTGTGGCAGACCGCCCAACTGCGGCTGGAGCGGAAGGGACTTCAAACAGTTTGGCTGCCAAGGCCTGAATTGCAGCTCTTCCTAGCTCAAGACACGTGGCATCAGCATCCTCCCTGGAACAGTCAAAACACGTGACAACGCACAAACGACAACAAAAAGAGAGTCTTAACCTGCACAACACGACAAAAAAGGAAAGAACAGAAAAAAAAAAAAAAAAGATTTTCCTAACCGGGTCCACAAACGACAAAACAAACAAAACGTTTTGAGCAACAGCACGGCATGTGCGTGTTATATCTGTTTTGTCGTTTGTGGATTGTCTTACGCCTATCCACAAACGACAATACAAAACAGAAAAAAAAAAAAAGAAAGTAAATACTAACACCTTTATAAATTGTCAGGTCAATCCCGTGCCTACTAAAAAAAGGACGTTGTATTCGAACACAACACCCCTCTCACGGCTTATGAGTTGGCAAACTGATACACAGAAAGGATCTATAGCTCTCCCTTTTCATATTCATTGCCGGCCATGAGAGGGGTGTTGTATTCGGATTGAATTAGGCGTTGCATTCAAGTTGAGTTAGCTATGTCTTGCATTTGTACGGTGTTAGGTAGGTGCTGTATTCAAATAAATTAGGCAGATGCTGTAGCATTCGAATTCAATTACCTGGGCGTTGTATTGGAATCGAATTAGGTAGTGTTGTATTCGAGATGAGTTAGATAGGTGCTGTATTCGAATAGAGATGGGTAGGTGTTGTACTCGGTCGAGTTGTGTTAGCTAGGTGATGAATTCAAATAAATTAGGCAGGTGCTGTAGCATTCGAATTCAATTACCTGGGCGTTGTATTGGAATCGAATTAGGTAGTGCTCTATTCAAGTTGAGTTAGATAGGTGCTGTATTCGAATAGAAATGGGTAGGTGTTGTCTTCGGTCGAGTTGTGTTAGCTAGGTGTTGTATTCGATTGGACTGTGTTAGGTAGGTGTTGTATTCGAATTGAATTGAGCTGGGTGTTGTATTGGAATTGAATTAGTTAAGTGTTGTATTTGAGATTAGATAGTTTCTGTATTCAAATGAATTAGGTGTTGCATTCGATTGAATTAGGTGGGTGTTGTATTCGACTACCGTCTTCCCCCGAACACAACGCACCCTCATTTTGGGCGTATCTGGCCGGAAATATAGCTTGTATACATTCATTTTTAGGGTGCGTTATGTTCGGGGGAAGACGGTAGAATCAGGTAGGCATTATATTCGAGTTGGGTTTGGTAAGTCTTGCATTCGAATTGAATTAGCTGGGTGTTGTATTCGAATTGAATTAGGAACGTGTGTTGTATTCGGATTGAGTTAGGTAGGTGTTGTATTCGGGGGAAGACGGGTACGGTGACGTGGGGGAAAGACCATAAGTGCTCCTCCCTCCTTAGGTTTCAAAAAATGATTTCACATTTTTTAATGATGTTACAGTTCTTACCTTTTCATATGCACCGCATTCTTGGGCCCAATATAAAACGTTAACAACAAAAACTATGTCAATCAGCGAAAAAAAATAGTAAAATTTTGTTCCATATAAAACTGGGAAAATATATCGACGGCAAACAAAACCCTAGTAAAACCCTCTGATTAATTCCCAGCCGAGAAAAACTCCGCGGGCATTCTTGGCCAATTAGCAGAAACAACCAAGGAGGTGGGTTATATCTTGCTGCCACCAAAAAAAATGCAAAAGAAGAAACGGAAAATCTTGTAATTCTTCAAAACTTAAATTATATATTTTCTAATCCGGATCTACATCCGAGCCTTCGCTGATAAGTACTGCTGCCAAGTCAGCGCTCATCATCCGAAAGGATACAACCTAACTCGTCCGCCCCATCTAATTCCCTAAAACCTATACATCAGCTTCCACTCAAAGATTCTCTCTCTCTCTCTCTCTCTCTCTCTCTCTCTCTCTCTCTCTCTCTCTCTCTCTCTCTCTCTCTCTCAGACACACACACACACACACACAGACGGAGAGATCGATTCAGCTAGTGAGCATAAGATTTCTTTCCTTCTTTGCTCGATTATGTAATCAATCGCTTATCTTACTTTGCGTACACTTTGCCAACCACGTTGCGGCATGGGGTCCGAATCAATCCAAAAACGATTGTTACAATCTGTCTACTGATAATGCGATTGTACCTACACATCTGATCTGATGTGATTTGATCTCATCTGCTAGACGAATTCTAAACCTGGTACTATTTATCAACATGGCTTGGACTGGCTATCTATCTGTTGCGCAGATGACGATATGGCTGCTCTCTCGCAGGAACAAAGGAACGAATTACTGATTGGCTGAATGAACGAGTGGAGTAAGTTACGCCAGTTAATCAAGAGATGAATCAACGATACGCAAGAGAAGAGGGGAGAAAGGGTCATCGTTCCCGTACTGTTTCTTTTCATTCATTTCCCGCCATTTCCGGCCTCTTGTGGAGAGACAGGGAACTACTGCACGACTCGGTTTTAGTACGACCAGCCGTATATAATCAGAAAGGAGGGAAAAAAAAAGGATAAGCCACATGGCACACGATCACTCGTTGTCGTTAGGCGGACCTGCGCGAGCCACTGACTAGGTACAGATTATGCACCTGGCGCTCGTGATGCCCAAAGACATCCCGACAAAACAAAACAATGTCTTTTTTTGGCTCAAAATTTCGACGAGCGGCGACGTCCTTGCTCAGAAAATAATCGCAGATAATCACCTCTACGAAAACGGGGTATGAGGGAGGNGAGAGAGAGAGAGAGAGAGAGAGAGAGAGAGAGAGAGAGAGAGAGAGAGAGAGAGAGAGAGAGAGAGATCTGTGTGTGGGGAGAGAGAGAGAGGGAGCTACGGTCTTCCCACGAGCATAACGCACCCGGAAGAAGAGGGAAGATTACAGCGGAGTAGAGACGAGAGGAGAAATTGAGAACGAAGTAAGAGCGGCAAATAGGGCCGGGACGTCGGGGGGGGGCAGGCTCCAGAAGAAAAGTGATTCCGAGACAATCTCTCCAAAAGAAACAGAGAGAAAAACAGCAAGGGAGGAAGAGAGAGAGGGAAGGGGAGGGCGGGGTAACTCTTTTTCTTCTTCTTTTCTTTTTTTTCTTTTTTTTACATCCATTCGATTTCATTTCAAAACGACGACGCTTGAGTCGAGCCCGGCGACCTCACAATTCAACCTGGAGTTATCCCGGCCGCATTCATTAAGCCGGTTTCGCTTCTGAACTTCCAAGACCTAACTAAATCACCCTATACCACCTATTATAAACTACCGCTATTTAAACTGCTGCCTCATTTCTATGCCTTCTGCGGATGCGGATGTACTTAACGAACACTTCAATTGCTTTGAATTCTCCTCACATCGATTGGAGCCCCAGAAAATAGACACACACCCAATAAATTAATAACCACCTCTGGCCTACCTATCTGGATGACATTTTGATGGAAACCGGATAGGAAAGTTTAACAAGGAAAATCATTAAAAAAAAAGAGAGAGAGAGAGTGAGAAAAAAAAAGTTAAGGAGGGGAATGGAGATCGCGCGGGATGGGAATATCTTCTATAAGAAACAACAAAGCGGCAAGTGCAACGAATCTGGATGGCTTGTTGACTCGCAGGGCGTTCGCCGCCGTCCCTGTCTTCGGACGATAGAGAGCGAGAGACAGCGAGAGAGAGAGAGAGGGAGGGAGGGAGAGAGAGAGAGAGAGTAATCGACGGACATTGATCTGGCGTTGCTTTTTATTTTGATTCTCCAAAAATCAATCAACGGCCATGAAACTGACGTTGATTTGGACTTTGATACGCCTCATTAAGTTTTCTTTTTACAGTTAAATCACGTTCACAATCCGAGGCGGCTATAATAATTATTACAGTATTTTATACATTTTAAATATTATATTATATATATTGTCACATATATTAGATATATATTGTCACATGATATCAGAGCGCCTAAGCGAAAAAACCAAAAAAAACAAAAAAATCTTAAATTCGTTTTTAATCTTCTTCCTTACAACTCCCCCTGTTCAGAACCTCTTGCGTACAAGGCCGCCCACGTGGATATATATATTATATATTGTCACATATATTATATAAATTGTCACATATATATTATATTATATATTGTATTGTCACACTCAGAATCGGAGCGCAAAGGCGGAAAAACGCAAAACAAGGAAAGGAAAAGAAGGAAGGAAGGAACGCCCCACCTGTTCATCACCTCTTCCGTACAAGGCCAGCCCCGTGGATGACAGGTTGAGCGCTGGCTGCCCCCATCCATCCCCGTGTGTCACAAGGACCCACTTGCACGCAGCCAAAAGGCAAAAAAGAGGTACTAAAGAAGAGGAGGAAACCAAACCTGACAGGGAAAGGAAGATAATCCAATTATCACAAAGCAAATAACACATCCCACAGATCAACATATTTTTTCTTTTTTCTTTCTTTCTTATTTTCTTATTTTCTCTTTCTTTCTTTTTTTCTTTTTTTTTACCTGTCCCCACCTCGGCAGATATATTGTCACAGAACTATTGACGAAGAGTGCAAACACGTGAAGTAGAAGAAGAAAAGAAAAAAATGAAAGGACAGACAGGCAAAGAGACAGACAAACCAGAAAGACAGAAAACAGTGTCTTCTTCTTCTTTGTTTTAGTGTATTCTTCTTCCTTTGTGTTTTTTTTTTTTGTACACTGAACAAAAGATAAATTAAAAAAAAACAAAGACACATTGAAATCATTCAATTTCTCAGTCTTCTTAACTCCTCCTTCACTCCCCCTCTCTCGTACAAGGCCCGCCACGTTGATGAAGTTGAGCGCGAGCTGCCCCCCCCATCCCCGCCGTATGCCATAACAGCCCACTTGCACGCTGCGGGAAAGAGGCAGAGTAAAGGGGGAGAGGTGTTAACCACAACAAGGAAGAGAGGGGCAGAAAAGCAAAACCGATAGACGAAGGGAAGGTGACACATCTTCTTTCTTCATTTTACTGTATTCTTCTTTCTTTATTTTACTGTATTCTTCTTTCTTTATTTTACTGTATTCTTCTTTCTTTCACAGTTTTGCAGTTTTGGTGAAGGGTCTCCCACGTTCGCTTTCCAGCGCACCTGCACTTTTCTTTGTTTACTTTTTATTCTCATTTCCACGGAAATTTCACCCTTCTGAATTCTTCTTGGAGGGGGGTGTTAGGGTGTTAGGGTACAAACAACATATAGTATTAATTGACTAAGAGGACTCAAGAGATCGAGGAAAGATGGCATATGAGATCGGGTACAAACCATTTTACTGAGTCGATTAGCAATACCGCCTGAAAACCCGAATAGAACGCCCCCTCATTATCGTTGTATCTAGACCGAAAGTTGCTCCGAATACAGCTATAATGCCTGGGCGTTCTATTCGGGTAAAGACGGTAGTGATGATTTCCTGCGGCGGTCTGCCTCTGTAGTATGAGCACTCTTCTGATAAAGATCATCTACGGGCATGCTCAATCACTACGGCTTCGCACTGAATCTGGCCAATATGATCGCCAGGAGCATCCTAGAAAGTTCCTAGAAGTATGAAAGTGGCCAAATTCAATCTGAGAAAGATCCCGAGTATGGCAGGGAGACCGAGGCTAAGTCTTCAAAAAAAAAAAAAAAAAAAAAAAAGAAGGGCAGGGTATTTCCAGACTGAGGGTATAAGTTTTTCTTGTGAGATGCTTCGCTGGTGCAACAACCGTACAACTTCTGCCATTGTCATCGCCCGTCATTACAATTCACCATTCCCATAATCAGGACCAGATTCATGCTGAACCAACCCTGCAATCCATCATAATTCATATCATTATGAGCTCTGTTCCTCAGCTACCAGACTGCAGCTAATTATCAGGTTTCCAAATTTCACAAGGCTACCGTGTTCCCCCGAATAGAACACGTACGGTCATTATAGCTGTCTTGGGGCAATTTTCGGTCTAGATAGGAAGAGATAACGACCGTGCGTTGTATTCGGGGGAAGAAGGTAGTTCAGTAGTTCAGTACTTATATCCCTAACGTGCCGATAATTACTGTAGCAATTGGAGCAGTAGTACGACGAGGAGGAGGAGGAGGAGGAGGAGGAGGACAAGCAGTAATAGTGGTACTAGCAGTGGAAGTAAGAATGGAGGCGATGGCAGTATGTATATAGTATTATACATGTAGACAGAAAGGGAGAGAAGGGCAGCAAAGAAGGGATATAAGTACTGAGCTTGGCTATATACATATATAATGAGTTTGTCACAGCCCCTCGTTTGTTGTCTTCTCCCTCCCTCTCTGCCTAAGGTTTACTGGGCAGCGCTGTTTGACGATATATATTGTCAGAAGAATGTCAGAGCGCAAAAACGAGGGAAAAAAAAAAAAAAAAAAAAAGAAAGAAAGAAAACACGGAAAAACTGAACTCGTTTTTTTTTCTTCTTCCTCCTTACAACTCCCCCTCCTGTTCAGAACCTCTTGCGTACAAGGCCGCCCACGTGAATGTAGGTTGAGCGGCGGCTGCCCCCACTCCCGTGTGTCATTTCGACCCACTTGCACACAGCCAAAAGCCAAAGCGGCAAAGAAAGAGGAAGGGAACAGCCAAATATAACAAAACAGGGGGAGACAAACATAAACAAATCCTACTAGATGACAAGTCCCACATGCAAGGCCGGCCACGTGGATGTATATGTGTATAAAACGCCATCCTAGAGGAGAAACCACAAACCACAGATGTCGTTTTTTCTTTTCTAACCAAACAAAAGACAAGAAAAAAAAAGGAAAAAAAAAAAAAAAAGGAAAGAGATAGCATAGTCGAAAAAAAAATAAAAATAAAAATTTAAAAAAAAAAGGAGAGAGAGCATAGTCGGCGGGTCCGCTGGTAGATTGGTCCTTACTCGGTAGCGAAGCGAGACGGATGAGGCCCACGGGGATCACACACCATAAGATGGCCCAGATCTACGGTCATCATTTCACTTCCATCGCCGCCATCGCCGCCATGTCCATCTTGCCCTACACCTCCAGGCAGCAGATCTTTCAACTTCATTGTCGGCGGCTCCGCCGCATCTGATTGTGGCGGCTTCGCCGCGTTACGGGTATTGTCTAACGGAGGAGAATCGGCGCCGGCCGATCCTGGTGGATCCGCCATCGCCGAGCTCGCTAGGTCTGCTCTAGGCGCCGACTCCCTCACCTCCCCTCCCATCTCCATTGCCACCGCCATGTTCTTCCTACCGACCGGTCACGAGTTCGCGCGCTCCTGCAGACAGCCAGACAGGTGTGGAGCGCGCCCAGCAGCTCCCCTTTCCCTGTGAAATTTTCTGGCGGGAGGGGGGGGGGGCGGGGGACCGGGAAGCGCGGAGGCGGCCAAACGACAGGCGTGTGGCAGAACGTTCTCGTGTGAACTTCTCTTCTTTTTTTTCTTTTCCCTCTCAAATTCTTACCTTTCGAAACCTACCTACCACTACTCCTAAGACTACACAAGGGACCACTACACAAGGGACCCCTGCAAGCATAGCTATCTACCTCACTTGGTGAAGGGAGGTTACCTCTCTCGGTGGAGGGTGGTAATTGCAAGTTGCATGCTTGCCCCTTGGCCTGCTGTGTAGTGGGTTAGGGTACAGAGTTGGGGCGACCAGTGCCTCGCCCAGCCAAAAATTTCCGACGCGGCCGTTAAACCACCAGTACCTACCGGTTGTCAAGGCCCGTGGCTCAGGCTACCGGTAGGCCGGTCATTGCCGAGCCTCGACTTTATTGCCGAGCCCAGGACAACCGGTAGTACACAACAGCAAAAAAGAAAGAAAAGAAAAAAACAAAAAAAAACGAGGACAACAATCTGAAAAAAAAAAAAAAAAAAAAAAAAAAAAAAAAAAAA